CATCGTGGGTAAGAACACATATGGGACACAGAGCCTACTTTCATGATGTGTCAAATTTCTGGGGCTGACATATTATAGAGAGAATGGATGGTGACTTTGGAGATGCAGGTGGACAGGATCTGATGCCTCCGGAATCACTGTGAAAAGTTCTATAAAACTTTAAACTTTGGAAAGGTATACGGGCAGAAAGTTAGTGAACATGTCAACATGGGCAAGAATCAACAAACTGATGAACTGATTAGCTGTAGATTTGGAGACAAGAAAATCAAAAGACCACCAGAGAAGATGAAAAAAGCAAAGGGAATCTGCTTTTACTCATTCTGGGACATTCAATTTTTTGCAACTCTCTGTTACCTAGACTAACCTCCCCTTAGCAAAAGTAGAGAGTGGTGATGTTAGAGATGCTGTCAGTTTGTTTCCTATGCATATGAAGAGCAAGAGACTGGAGAAAACATTTTTATGTTATGTTAGCAAATTGGCAGAAGTTTAAATCCTGTGTCCACAACATTAATCAAAAGTGACTTAAAATTTGCTTCAAGTACAGAATAAATATGTTTTAACGATTATTCAAAGCATGCAACTGCGGGAGGTGTTGGCAGAGGTCTGTGTGAGATGGATGTGCAGAGATAAGGGAGTTTTGGGCTAAACACCCCAAACCACTTGGAAAGCAGGGTTGGAGATTTAAGACAGTCCACAGGGCACTAGTCCCAGTAGGATCAAGTACATTGCCATGAGGAATGAAAGCTCTGGCCCTCTCCTCCTCACATTCTGATTTATTACTTAGATTGACCCAAAGATCAGTGATGCAACAGAGCACCCTGGACCTTTTCCCTGTCCCCTAAGTGAATCCTGCACAGATGTAATTCTGTTTTCCTTTATCATTGCTTCGATAGTTCTATCAATAAAAACCCATAGGCGCTTCCATTCTGGGGCATCATTTCCTGAGACCTTTGCATCCTAACAGTTCTCAGTTAATGCAGTCCTCCTGGGCCCACTTGGAGGTTAAACTGGATTCGGACTCTGAGTCATCGCTCACCCTTCATGCCATGCCAGGATTGTGCACTGTGACATACAATCAAGTTTTAGAAACTTTTATGAAATAAGTTAAAGTTTTGAGGAGCTGGCAAAATGATTTAGTAAGCAATGTGGAAAGTAAACTTTATTTAGCTCTTAGATGTAGTATACACCTTAGATGAAAGAACAGTTCAACAATGAGTTTAATCAGAAGTTATGAGAAGACTGGTTTAGTATTCTCTCATTTTACTAGAACCAAAAAGAATTACTAACGGTGTTCCTATGCAAGGGCCCTCTGCAATACAGCTGCTTGCATCTGAGTTATTTAGCACTGCATTTCTTTTAATTTTGCCTCTCTCTCACACCTTTATATATATATATATATATATATATATATATATATACACACACACATTACAGACCAAATATTATTGATGAAAATATGAACACGTTAGTGTACATGTGCTGGTTTGAGGGATACTTTGCAAGGGAGAACAATATAATACAGAACACATATTTTGTAAGATTATTTATAGTAGTCACCCAAAGAATGATACATAAAAGAGTGCAAGAAATCTGTCCACATAACATAGACCAAGAATCCAGCTGAGGGCCTGGATCACATGACAACATCCTACATGAGTCCAACTTAAGACCTAGAACTCATAACAATGCTTCCCACAAATCCAACTGCAAGCCCAGAGTCCATACCAATATGTCATGCAGGCCTATTTCACGGATGTGCGCTGAGAAGGCCCAAAAGTCAGTGGTGGAATCTAGGAAGTCTGTGCCAGCAGGATGAAAGATCTGTGCTAGTAGGCTGAGTATCTGCACTGGAGCCAGGAAGTGACGCTCAGAAGAACCAGAGCTCTCCCAAGAGATACCACAGCCATCCTCAGCAACAGTGAGGTCCCCAGCTCCTCTGATCATCAAGATGGCTGAGTTTCCAACAGGAAAGCTCATGCAGAAAGCTTCTCCTGGAGACCGGCAGCACACCATCTTCCCCTCTGGAGCCAGGAAGAGACACTCAAATTGAGGACAAGAGCGCCTCCAAAGTAAATTAAAGCCACTCTCAGTGCCAACAAGGTCCTGAGCTCCTTGGAGGATGAAAACAGCCAAGTTCATCAAGAAAGCCAGCATGACGAGCTCCTCCAAAACAACCAACAGCTTCCACTAGCTCCGACAGCCTTTCTCCACTCCCAACAGCCAACTTCTCCTTCTCCAGTTCTGCCCCTTATGCTGCTGGCAACAATTCTCAGGTGGGCCTCCCACACCCAGCACCACGCTTACTCAGTTCAGCTGGGGGTTATAAATTGACCACCAGTTATCAATCTACTACAGTACACATGGGTGTAAAAATATATTTATTTATTTATTCCAATTGTGGAAAATATGTCTCAATTTCCCATAATTTGGCAATCATAAATAATTTTCATACACTTCACATAGTGACTTCTACTTCTCAGATTCTGAGTAAGTGTATATGTATTTGCTGCCCACTCTACTTGATGAATAAGACCGGTCACATTTTTTGACTGTGGGCATGTAGGTAGGAATTACACCAATAATGGACACTGAAACTCTTCATAAAAACAAGTGTGGTCATTGTCATTGCAATTTGGAATGTATTTCAGTAGATTTTAATGAGAAAAAGGAACGAAGGAACTTAGTGAATAATAGTAACTTATTTATCCCTATTTGAGGTGGGTCACACTGCTGCAGTTATATAGGAACATTGTGGGTGCTAAATATTCCACTCCAAGTTGGCATCACTCATTTATTCAGTGGCCTGGTGCTGGCAGTTGGTTGGGTGCCTTCATATTTCCTCAGTGGTGAGTTGCTTGTTTTGTGCCTTTCTGGGTTCTTCTCAGAGCACCGTTTGAAGACACTGAAGGTGGAGACCACAAGGCATCTTGGGACCTCGACTCCTGAATTTGCACAACAGTCTTCCTATCACATATTCCAGGTCAAGCAAATCACAATTCCTACTTAGTGGCTCTTTCAAGCCCTCTTGAGACCACACCTCTAAACTGCTAGACCTCATGGTTTCACTTACAGAAGTTTTAGCTAATGGATCACACAAGGTATCAGGGAGAAGAGCAACTTGCATTTCCACTTACTCTGGACCCATGAAATCTAGGTGTCAGAAAATGCTGGAGAAGCAGCAATGAACAGTGTTACATACTTTGAGCATATAACGCATTCTGGAAGATATTTCTTTATCCTTGTAAGGTATTGTCTCTGAGATTGTCTCATAACTAAGTTTAAAAAGGAGACCCCTTAAAAAAAAGTGACCCTAAAGTTCCAAGCACATTTTTTCAAAATCTAAATAGTAACAGAAGAATTTTCCTTCACTCCTTTCTCTCTCTTAGGGTCACTCTGGAATAGCATTAAAGTTTGGCAACTGTGGACTTACATGTGTAACACATCATGGGAAAGATTTGTAAAGAACACCCCGATTCTTTCTTTCATAATTAAGCTGTGATAGGGCATGTCCCATGAGGCCATGAATTCGGGCTTGGAGAAGCAGGAAGGAAAGCAAAAGTATTGGTCGTGGACATTTTGCTACATTTTATTTTGGTTTCCTGTCTTCCAACCTGGGAGTGCAGTTGATGGCTGTCCTGGCCCAATTTCATAGAATGGTAGGAGAGAAAACACCTACTCAAGACTGAAAGTACAGGTTACATAGCAAGTAATTGCTCTGGGACAATAATTCAGTCCTCGGTAGTGTCTGTTAAAATATCAGTCTGCTTCTCAAAAGCTGAATAGTTATCTACAGATGGAGTTACAGTATAATTTTAAAATACCGAAGGTCTGATCAGTAACTGATTACGTGGCTGACCCAACATTCTGAAAAAATTCTAATGATCAAATAACCATCAAAGACAATGACATATGCTTAATTTTATGGAGCATCCGCAGCTTACATTGTAAACTGAACTGGATATAAATTTCCCTCTTGATTTGAGATTTTCTAAAAATGGACAGTTTTCTGGGTAACTTTTGTAGATAATCGGAAGTAGATTGCCCATAATTTCCACCTGCTATGTTCAAAATCCCCAAGCTGACTCAATTTTGGAAGCAGTATTTAAGTTTTATCTTTTTTGTTAATTACAGCAGGCATTTTAATCATGTGCAAACAAAGCCCGAAAGTTAATTTCATGCTATAATTTTCTGCGTAATTTGGAGGAAATTCTACCCAGTAAGGTAGTGTAAGAGAACTACATTTACTTTAATTGCCTGTTGATGCTTACAAGGAATAATGTGGAGGTGATTCTCTAGAGCTAGAGTCCATGGGGAAATAACTGATATAATAACCTCAGCACTCCTGTTGCATGCAGCCTGTAGAGAATCAGGAAGCGGTAGCCTGTTTGTCTGTAGCACTTAACTTCATTTGCTTTTACTGTGGAATAATGACAATGTGATTTTCCATATTGTAACTGAGATCCTCTTGGATTTTCTTTTTTGGTTCAGTCTCTGTAAGCATTATCCAGCTCTGAGCCCAGTAATATTCAAGGAGGAAGCTCCCACTCATGGAAATACTTCATCTCAGGTCCACTGATAAACACTTCACAAAGAAAAGTGTAAATTTGCCATACTCTGAGTATATGAGCAATGAACTGGTATACAGACGTTTTATAAGAATGAGAAATAGTCTTGTGCAAACTCTTACCTGATTCTCCTGGGGACTTTTTATAAGACATTCAACAAGGGAAGTAGCCTTTAGGAGTAAGAATTGCTGGTGTAGAAATGCTAAACTCTTATATTCTAATATTTTGTTGCATTCTTAGAAACAGTCTTTCTTAATGAACTTAATTAACTTGTTCAAATAAGCAAAATGCATATACATTGTTGGAAGCAACTATTTCACATTTTTTGAGCATCTTCCCTAGTTGATATATTTATGTACAAACATTTTCTATCAGTTCTGTGAAGGAAGCCATGATAGAATTCTCACTTACTTCTATATATCTTGTATTTTACAGGAACAAACTTCTTCAGCAACACTCTTAGGTTTCACCGATTCCTCTTCAGATCTTCAGATTCCTCTCTTCCTCGTGTTCCTGATCATATACGGTATCACTGTGCTAGGAAACCTTGGCATGATAGTCATCATCCGGGTTAACCCGAAACTGCACACCCCCATGTACTTTTTCCTTAGTCACCTGTCATTCGTTGACTTCTGCTATTCTTCCATTGTTACACCCAAGCTGCTTGAGAACCTGGTCATGGAAGATAAAAGCATCTTCTACTGGAGCTGTGTGTGGCAGTTCTACCTGTCTTGCTTCGCTGTGGTGGCCAAGTCCTTCTTGCTGGTGGTGATGGCCTATGACCGCTTCGTGGCCATCCGTAACCCCCTGCTGTACACAGTCGCTATGTCACAGAGGCTCTGTGCTCTGCTCGTGGCTGGATCCTACTTCTGGGCTCTGTTTTGCCCCTTTGTGCTCTTTTGCTATGCTCTTCAGCTAAGCTTCAGTGGACTTAATGTCATCCACCACTTTTTCTGCGAATATACGTCCCTCATTGCGGTCTCTACCTCTGACATACACATCCCCCTACTGTTGCTTTTTGGCTTTGCCACTTTCAATGAGGTGAGTACTCTCCTGATCATCCTTACCTCCTATGTGTTTATTTTTGTGACTGTAGTAAAAGTCCCATCTGCCAGCGGGCGTCGTAAAGCCTTTTCCCCCTGTGCCTCCCACCTGACGGCCATCACCGTCTTCCATGGCACCATCCTTTCCCTCTACTGCGTGCCCAACTCCAAGAACTCTCGACACACCGTCAAAGTGGCCTCCGTGTTTTACACGGTTGTCAACCCCATGCTGAACCCTCTGATCTACAGCCTGAGAAGCAAGGATGTAAAGGATGCCTTCAAGAAAGCAGTAGACACAAAAGTCCCTTTTCACTGAATCTATCCCAGGAGACGTTTTCGACCCTAATAAGCACTGGGAACAGGTTACAGCTTTAGAAATGCTATAGTGGACGTTTGTATGTTTTTATAATAGATGAATGTGATGTTTGAATCAATAAATTCAAATCCTACAGAAAAGCCAAAGACATATAGTACTAGGATGAATTATAAGATTTTAGCTCATTCTATTTCTTGAAAGTCTCTCTCTCTCTCTCTCTCTATTTTTCTCTCTCTCTTACGCACACACACACACACACACACACACACACACACACACACATACATGCACACAGGAGTAGAAAGTACAAAAGATTCCACAGTGTGTGGTGCTTCAGGTATTAAAAGAATGATAGTAACTGTAACAGAATGTACTTTCCTAATTGGTTAACTTGCTTAACATTAAGTGCCTGCTTTTACAAGTTGTTTGTGCAGTGCCCCTGTAGTGCTGTGGCATTCTGGGAGACAGAAATGGGTATCCTTTGCAGTAAAGGGGAAATCCTTCTTTTCAGATACCTTCATTCTATGGGTTCTCTGAACCGAATGAATAATAAATTGTGGCAAATTAAGCAGTCACTGCATGCAGAGAAACACACCAGTAAGGACAGTTCCTTCTCTGGGTAAATAATGCTGCAGACACAGAAGAAAATAGTAGAGCAATAACTGGCATGACCTAAAAGAGGATTTTAACTCCTAATGATGTTGTAATTTTTTTAAATTTTGAGACACATTTTCTATGGGATTGGCTTTTAACTCATTGGGAAGCACACACTGGCATTCAACTTGAGATCCTCCTGCCTCAGGCTCCCAAGTACTGGGATTACACAGGCATGTGCGCTCACATATCCAGCTCAAAGCCCTTTCTCGAAAATGCATCTAAGGCTTTTAGTATGAGAGAGGTCGTAGAAAGTAATTTTCTCTTTCAGAAAGGACAATGATTGGAGTCATTTCAGTATTTCTACATAGCACTTGCATATTGTTAGTCAAAATTTGCACTTGTGGAATTCTCAGGTCTAGATATCTCTATAGGCATTGTCTGATCTTGATTATATACAATGAATATAATAAATATTTTATCTGAAGATACTGAGGACTTATACATTGAGATTCATGTTTCAACATTTTTGTGAATAACTGAACACAAATATCTGATATCAAACAAAGCATTAAAGCAAATTTGAATAAGAATGCTAACACTGAAGAATTTTAAATAAATTTTATGTTTCCATTATGAAAACATTGTCATATTGTGATGGGTATCTATATATGCATAAGATAACATTTTACTTCTTATTTCACAATTCAAAATACAGTTGTAAAACAAAGTTTGGAACTTATATTTCGCATACATAAAAATTTCTTTCTTAATACAATGGGAAATAAATGAAAATTCCAAATGAAAACACAAAAAAATCCCTACACATATAATACACAGCAGAAGAAAAATGACACTCCTGTGGAAAGAGATATAAGGTTTAATTAACCAATCTGTATACAAAATGTTAATAGAATTTACACATATGAAATGTTGTTCAACATGACTCAGAATAAAATTACGAATGAAAACTGCCTGGATCTCTTATTTCTCATGTATCAGGTATCATAAATTTAACAATTACTTCCTATAAATAAAACCATAAGGAAGAACACAATTATAAGCAGGATGAGATCAAGTTACCTAACCTATATGCAGACATCTAAAGCACTAGCAATGTTACATATGGACTGAAGCACTCCTAAAGCACTCACATTTCTGCGGCTCTATCCCAAAGACAAAGTAATAAATAAATAATTCATAAGCATTGCTTACAACACAAACAGACTTGAAAGTTGTATGAATTATGGGTCAAAATAAACAAATAACTGCAGGAAAGAAAAAAGAAGGAACACTTTTTTTGTTTACAAACTGTTACAGTGTGCTCCCACAAGATATTCTCAAGTGAATATGTTCAACCTTAGAAAAAGTCCTTGTGATAAAATGTGTGAAAGTGGAGGGAAGATTAAAAACAGTAATACAGATAGAAAAATGTGGAATAAAACAAGAAAAATAAATAGTCATAAATCAATAATTATTCGCTAACCAAAGTGTGTGGTATATGGTAAAGGTATTAATGATTTAAAGTAAGGAAAAATTAGTTGAAACTGTTTTCATGTTTGTCAGAAATTTAGGTTGAGGTTATGCTTTTCCTCTTAAAGCAAGTGTCACTAAAAATGATAACCCAATAGCAGTGAGAATCCTTATTCCTCAAATTTCCCTTAAAAAGATTTTCCTTTCCAGAACTGGGGATTCTTGGATAAATGTCAGATTTGAAGGGTAGATCGGAAGTTTGCCAGAACAGTGAGAGGATTAATTTTCCAGAAAGCTACGGTGGGAATCACAGCTCCGCAGATCACCTTGAAGCAATACTGGCGGTGACAGGAAATGATTGTTGCTGGTTCATAGTTAGAAAACAATCAACGCAAAATGCGTGTTCACTGCAATGATTTAAAGCTATCAATTATGTTGAAGTCTGGATACCAAAAATAAAATAAGCAAACCACTGATGATTATAAAAGATACTGATATAAAAACACTCTTCTGAAAATTGGGAAGCAAAAGAAACAAATATTTATTGTATCTTTCCTCTATAAAGTGTCTCTTCAGATCACCCCCAACAGGCAATGACAGGAAGTCCAGAAGAAATCAAGGAGGAAATATATATAGAATTAGAAAAATCAGGATTTTAGAACTGAGAATAAAAAATGGAATTATAGAAATTACTTTAAAGAGTATTAAAATCATCAAAAGAAAGTTGGTGGGATATTTCATGTGAACGAATGGAGCTAGTACCTGCATCTACAGACCACAATGAACTGTGGTGAAAGCTGACAGGTAACATGTGGTTTGGTTGTACCTGGCAGTGCCCACAAGCACTGCTGTGGAAATCCTGCTGAAGAGAAAAGAAAAGAGGAAGAGAAAAGAAAGGAAAAGAAAAGAGAAAGAAATGAAAAGAAAAGGAAAGGAAAGGAAAGGAAAGGAAAGGAAAGGAAAGGAAAGGAAAGGAAAGGAAAGGAAAGGAAAGGAAAGGAAAAAGAGAAAAGAAAAGAAAAGAAGAGAAAAGAAAAGAAAAGAAAAGAAAAGAAAAGAAAAGAAAAGAAAAGAAAAGAAAAGAAAAGAAAAGAAAGAAGGGGCTGGGGATTTAGCTCAGTGGCACAGCACCTGCCTGGCAAGTGCAAGTTTGTGAGTTCAATTCCTGGTACCGGAAAACAATCAAAAAAAAAAAAAAAAAAAAAAAAAAAAAAAAAAAAAAAAAGAAAAAAGAAAGAGAAAAGAAAAGAATGCACCAACTAATACAGATCCTTTATCAGAATGTCCTTGGGAAGGATTCATACAGAAAGGAGTTAAATGACCCCAAATGAAACAGTAAGTTACCTGCTGAGAATGTAACATTCTTCAAATGGTCCATTTTTTCTCCCAAGTCTTCTTAAACAAGTGTGTGATTATTTGTGCACAGAGAAGAGTTACATAATAAAAAAGAATTTAGGAATTGTAGCCATATTGATTTGGTTCTTGATTCAAATTCATTTTATATATATATAAATATATATATATCTTGGAAAACTTGGGAAATGTAAATAATGGATTGGGTCGGAATCATGTGCTATGAAAAATACATTTGATACAGTGTTGGTGCCTGTCTGTTACTGCAGCTTCTGAGGAGGCTGAGACAGGAGGATCACAAGTTCACCACCATCCTCTGCAAATGAATAAAACCCTGTGTCAAATTTCAAAATGATTATAGAAAGTAAAATTGAGCTTGAGAAGTAGCTCAGTGGGCTAGCATGCATAAGGCCCTGTATTTAATCCTCCATATGACAAAAACAAAATACATTTATGATTTTATACATATTAAATGTGATTTTATCAAGAGGTGGCTTTTTAGTTTGGTTTTAGTCTTGAGAATTGACCGTATCCTGTAGTGCTGAGCAATGTCTCAAGCTCTTTGGCATGAGTGTCTAACTGAGTGTTCATTTTATGAATGGTTACTGTTTTAAGTAAACTATTAATAACAAACTTAGTAAGATAGATTGAAAGAGAAATATAATATTCTACAAATGGGGTTGTGCTTTAGTGACCCTAAATTTATATGATTAAAGTCAGTCAGGGCCAGGGATACAGCTCAGCGGCACAAGCACCTTCCTGGCAAGTGCAAGGTCCTGAGTTCGATTCCCGGGACCAAAAAAAAGAGTCAGGCCCTCACTGTCCCTACATATTACCCGACTCTTCAGAACGAGGTCCACTCCGCACATGTGTTTGCCAGGCTGCACAGAGGGATATTTGGCCAAGAATACATTTGAGACTGAGAAAGTCAATACCCCAAACAGCTCCCACAGCATCTTGTACTGATGCTCGAAGCACTGATTGAAGTACGTCACTGTTTCCTTACAAGACTTTAAAGGACTGAAGTTTTATAATAACACTGACTTGGAATTACTCAGCAGCGATTCCTTAGTGAATGTATCCACCAGAGAGCTCCAGCCGTGTAGTCCTGTGCTTCTTTCTCATCCTAAGAAATGCTAATTTAGGGACATAAATACAACCCTGAAGGACACAGGCAGGTACATCCTTACCATCTTCCTTCTTTTTTGTTTCCAGCAGAACAGATGTCAGCTTGTGCTACCCTTACTATATATTCTTTTCATGCTGTTATTTTACAAAGAGCTGTGGAAAGCGACCAGCATCCCACGTCTGGCAGAGTTGCTGATATATGCGAATGTAAACTTTCATTTCAAAATCAGTGTCATGAACTCAACACTCTTCCTCTCAAGATGCTTCATAAAACTCACTTCTCTCATGAGGGTTCCTTACTGTGACCTTGTCTGACCTCTGTCTTCAAAATGACACTCCCGAGGCATGGGATGTGGTGCAGCTCTGTAATCCCAGCACACGAGGGGGCAGAACCAAGAAGGTGCCAAGATTGAGCTCAGTTTGGACAGTTTAGCAACTGACCCTGTCTCAAAATAAAAAGAGAGGGGGAGTGGCTGGATGTGTGGCTCAGGGTGAAGGCCTTGGTTACAGACCCAACCATCTCACACACACACACACACAGAAGAAAAAAGAAAAACAATGAAGAAGAAAGAGAAGGAGGAAAAATTCTTTAATTATATGATTTTTAGCATTATTGGAAAATAATACCTGTTTTTTTGTACTCTCCTTTAGATATATATTAATGAACAAAAGAGTATTCTCTTTCCTATGTCCCAGTATTGAGATAGTACCTGGATCAAGGTAAGTCTCTCATAAATATTTGTTTAATGAATGAATGAATGGATGGATGGATGACTAAATAAATAAATAAATAAATAATTATAATTATAATTATATAATCTCATTGTGCACTTTCTTTCTGACTCATATCAGAAAGCAAAGTTCATGAAATATAAATTAAGATTATACAATGTATACTCTTTACACAAAAAAATACACATGGATTTTGAACATGTTACTTAATGATTGGACATGCTAAAACGTCAAGGAAGCTACTTTCAAGATTTTATAGAGTAGAACAATTGAGAATAATTCCATCACAACTAATTTCTATGTGTTGTATTTTATTATTTCTATTTTGTTGAACTTGCCTAGAAAGATAAATCGAAAGAGTAGATTTGTTTTATTTCATTTTGATTGTTTATTTTTATTTTTTAAATTAGGAAATTATCATTGTGCTTACAAATTTAAATAAAAACTTACATAGAGACATTCAGAGTGTGTGTGTGTGCATGTGCGTGTGTGCACTCTCCTGCTTGCACTCTAATTTCCTTCATTTCTGGAAGGCTTGGTGGCATCCCACTTACAAGGAAGGTCATGCTTATCATTCTGAAATTATTCATGGTACATTTGGCACTAGTTAGCAATCCAGAAACTTGGAATATAGGAGTGTACTAAACCATTGATTTTCTACTTTCCTAGAAGTTTCATCCTAACAATGGCAAACAAACAACATATAATAAACACAGCAAAAAAGAATTTAAGAAATTGTGTTAAGTCCTTTGAACACTAATGTGGGCAGTCGGGTACCAGCGGGAGTACCCTATAGCATCTATAGCACCCTCACAGAAAGTTTTACGAAGGAGAACTATTAGAGAACAAATTCCAGGTTGTTAAGAAAGAGTGCGCTGACGTTTACAGAAATAATATTCAAATAATCTGGATGCAGGACACAGCAATAAGCACATGATAAGTAAAAGAAATAATAAATAAGACAGAGATTTAACAAAGATTAGGTCATTTCTGCAGTAGAATATTCACCTTTGTAAATATCTGTACTTTAACTCTCAGAAAAGCATGTCTCCATGCTGATGTGGAAGTCAGAGTTTCACAGTCTTCTAGGATGATCTGAGTGTGCATGATGGAGGAAAAATTTTATGGGATGTAATAGGCACTGAGTCAGTGTTTCATAATAATGATTATTATACCTACACCTATTTTCATAATTGAAATTGGGAGCATATGTGAGTAGTCAGGGGTCTAGGGAAAGTGCCGTTCATACATAAATTATTTCACAGAAAGTACTACTAGTGCTGCCGTAACTTTTATAGGAAATTCTCCCATTATGGCTAAAATTCACCTCTACATTTTCTCCTATGTTAGAATTGCATCAGATTTAGGTGACTAATTTTGATTGTTTATTTTACATCCTCAAGAGATTGAAGCAGTGCATTGTCCCCAGGGCTCTTTTCTCCAAGGCCTTAACTATAGATATAGGAACACAGACCTCACTCTCAACCAGGAGGGGTCCAGCTTTTGCCACCAACAGGTTTGTGCTAAAATTCTAAAGACAATTTAATATTAATCTTAAGACAGCAATCAATGTGAGAAAAATGAAAGAGCCTGGGGAAATGGAGAGTTCTTGAGAAATAAGTGTGATCAATCAAGGATCAGGAAGTTCACAGTTATGTAAATTCTGTATTAAAGGGTCCAGAGCTAAATTCATCTACAATCTCATGAAAAATTTGTACCTGAGAGGGGAATAGAAAAGCACTGAGAATTTGGGATTATGTACTATTTCATTATCATAAATTTTTGATGAGTAATAGAGACACAATCCGCAAATATTTAAGCAAAATTAGATGAACAATGATTGAATACACTGGTGAAAAAATTTAAAGGGACTAGCTTCAATTAACACTTAGAAAAGAGGAAATAAATGTGACCACTGGTACCAAAAATAACAATAACCCTATTAGGAGACAAGAAGCAACTGCAGGGAAGCAATTTATTTCCATTTTCAGGGAAGAAGATTTTAGCTACCATTTTTCCTGAGCTAATATAATGGAAATTTTTACCAGACATGTGATACTAGCACTTGAGAGACAAGATCCAATACATAAAATGTAACATTAGCTAATAACAAATTTTAATGCCTTAGATACATAAAATATGCTAGTAATGAAAAATGTGGTAATTGGAATATCTGGGTTGATGGATTGTCTTTTATAGAGAAATTCACAAGTAGAGGGCCACTGAATATGTCAGATTTGCATATGATCTGGCATCTTAATTGATGGGCTATCAGAATTACTTCCTGGACGATGTCACTAAAGATAACTTTATTTGCCATGAGGGAGCAAGAGATTCCTGGCATGGAGGGAAGTGAATGGTGTTGGCACCAGTGAAAGAAGTAGAATGATTCTTTTGTGTCAGTCTTTTCCATGAAACCTCTTTATGCTGCAGCGCTACCTCAGATTGTTACTGTTCTCCATAACCAGCGACATAAGGAGAAAAAGAGCACACTAGATGTTCCAAAATCAGAGGTGGAAGGGAAGGAAAGAGGAGAAGATTGTGCTGGAGGGGGAGAAAGAGATAGAAAGAGAGAGAGAGAATGGTAGAAGGGGGGAAAGAAGAAGGCGAGGGAGAGGGAAAGGATGATACCTAGAAAAGTGAAGATTTTATATAAGTTTTTATTATAGCTCCTGGCCAAGTAAATATTTTACTTGTATATTCCTGGCCAAGAAAACTTTGCCTAATTGTATTAAGTGCCTCATCTTGATGCCAATTCCTAGTACACATATGAAGCATGTGCAATGTGACAGAACCATTTTCCTTAAGATTAGGATCTGTAGTTAGCTTATTATTTGCAAATATGATTATTAGTAAAAGAAACATGTTAATAGCTCAACCTAAAATTATAATCATGCTATGGTAGTCAATAAATTGGTATATTACCAAGAATCTGAGACTTCCTTCTGTTCATGACTGTAAAGATTTTTCTTTAGCTGCATGCCTTTGGGAAAAACAAGGCTTCCCTGGATATAGAATAACCTAGAAAAATTTTATAATCCAATTTATTATCCTAAAGTAAATGAAGAAATAATGGTACTTAGGGTTCATAAACTGAAAAGTATACTTTCTGAAAAAGGTGCTGAGATTTATTTTGGTGTCTCATTTATTGTGTCAGACACACAAATAGATGTAAATAACATATGCATATAAATATAAAGGCACAAGTGAAGTGTTTGGGCTCTCGATACTAATGTTGCTATGTGACAATTTACAAAAAACTTTCAAAATTTCTGATTTTCATTACTTATTGCAGAGGTGAGAAAAGAATTTATCATATGAAGTTTATATTTTATACATTTACATTGTACAAACAGCTGGAAGTTTTCTCTGAAGATTTTATTAAAAACACACAGAAGTGCATTTATTTACTGTACTTGTATATGTATTGCTTATACTTGTAAATATTAAATATCACAAGTGAGAAATTGTGATTTAATTTAATAATTTCTTTTTTTTTTTTTTTTTCTGGTACTGGGAACCGAACTCAAGACCTCATGCTTGCCAGGCAGGCGCTGTGCCATTGAGCTAAATCCCCAGCCCCTCCATTTTTTAAAAAAATATTGAAAGCCTGGGGATATAGCTCAGCCACACAGTACCTGTCTTGTAAGCCCAACGTCCGGAGTTTGATTCCCGGTACAAAAAAAAAAAAGATAAAATATTGAAATATTGTCATTATATTTTTGCATTCCTGCAGATGTAATTAGTATAAATAGCTAAATAGCAAGACTGTGAAAGAAATATTTTTGTCCATTCTCCAGACTGTGTGAGAAGAAAGAACCAAGCGTCTTATTTTATCTCTGTTCTTATTTTCATTTTCAGGGTTAACTTTCATTTTCTGACAAACAGAAACAATGCTACCGTCAGAGCGCAACAAGAGTGGAACCACATTCATCCTTTTGGGCTTCTCAGATTATCCAGAAATGCAAGTACCTCTCTTCTTGACTTTTCTAGCCATCTACAGTGTGACTGTGGTAGGGAACATTGGGATGGTTGTAATAATCAGACTTAACCCCAAGCTGCACACCCCCATGTATTTTTTCCTCAGCCACCTCTCATTCGTGGATTTCTGCTACTCCTCCGTCATTGCTCCCAAGATGCTGGTGAACCTAGTCTCAAAGGACAGAACCATTTCATTTTTAGGATGTGCAGTACAGTTCTTCTTCTTTTGTACCTTTGTGGTGACTGAGTCCTTTTTATTAGCGGCGATGGCCTATGACCGCTTTGTGGCCATCTGTAACCCCCTTCTCTACTCAGTCGCCATGTCCCAGAAGCTCTGCGCCATGCTGGTGGCGGGGTCCTACTCATGGGGGGTAGTCTGTTCCTTGACACTGACGTGCTCCGCCTTGCAATTATCTTTTCATGGTTTCAACGTAATCAATCACTTCTTCTGTGAGTTCTCCGCACTGCTGTCTCTTTCCTGCTCTGACACGGACGTCAGCCACTTGCTGCTTTTTGTCTTTGCCACTTTTAACGAAGTCAGCACACTCTTCATCATTCTGTTGTCTTACGTGTTCATTGTTGTCACCGTCCTCAAGATGCACTCAGCCAGCGGGCGCCGCAAGGCTTTCTCCACCTGCACCTCCCACCTGACGGCCATCGCCATCTTCCACGGCACCATCCTGTTCCTCTACTGTGTGCCCGACTCCAAGAACTCCAGGCACACGGTCAAAGTGGCCTCCGTGTTTTACACGGTGGTGATCCCCATGTTGAACCCGCTGATCTACAGTCTGAGAAATAAGGATGTGAAGGACACGGTCCAAAAAATCATGCACACCAAAGTATTTTCTAATTGAGGATGATATTTTCATGGAGTTTTTCTCTAATACAAAAATTGCACATCAAATTGTTTTAAGCATGGCATTAAAATTCATAATTAACATTGTTCAATTGAATGGAAACAGATTTTGCTTTCAAGTGAATAAACTTGGGTCCTTCCTTTTCTTGCTGGAAACCATTAGAAATCTTTCCCTTTTTTATTTTGAGGAAAGGTCTTGCTAGGCTCTTCAGGACGGGCTCATACCTGCTTCTCTGTCTCAGCGTCTCCTGGCCCAGGACTGCATGTGTGTGTCACCACGCTGGCTCCGTGTATAACATGTCTTCTCCAAGGTTGAGGTACCGTGAAAGAACTCATAATCGGAGTGTGAAAATTAAAGGGTAACTTATATGTGCGTATATCTCATGATTTTCCTTAAGTAACTCAATAAATATTATTTCTATCCCTTTTTTACATAAGACATGAGGAGTAGACTGAAATCTCAATCCTATGAAGTAAGTGGCTATTGTAGGAGGCAGAAAATAATAAATACTACAGAAAGTTTAAGAGAAGGGACATTCAAACCCACCCAGATACTACACGAACTAAGTTACACAAAGGAGAATGATCAGTTTGTTTGGAGATACATTCAGTAGTGAAGGAGGTTTATTTAGAGGAATACTGCAAAAATAAAATCAAAGAGACAAAACTGTAATACTGACTCTGGTTCAACAAATATTTTTTTGACCTAAAGCAATACAAGTGTGATGTGTGTGTGTGTCTGTGTGTGGGGGTGTATGTCCGCGTGTGTGTGTTGTATAGATTGTACCAGTTACTTGACACTTGAATAAAATATGGTCTATATCCTGAAATGTTTTTAAAGTCATTTTAACATGGTATTGTGGTAATCTGTAATAGACTGATCCAAAGGCTCAGAAATGATACATTGGATAATAGCAAATCTCTTATGCTGCTTTACATGTGTTTCATGGTGTGCTATTATTCTATGGGAATAATCTTTATTCCCAGTCTTTTGTACTTTTTAAAATATGAGCATGGCTATAACTTCTGAACCTTTCTCAGTGGAAATTTCACTTGACTTCCTAAATGTGCGTACCGTCATTTCAAGGGTTGAAACCTTGCTACCTACATAAACATCTTCAAAATAAAATGAAAACCATGCCTCAACACATTTCACATTTCAGGTTAAAAATATCAGGCATTTTAGCTTAATAACTCATTTTGTTTCACTAAGCATTTCCTTCTCTTTACTCAGTGTTTCAGGATGAAATTTCAAATATTCACCAATATACAGAAAGAAATAAATTTCTATGTATTTTAGTAGGGGATTAAAAAAGTATGTGGTACAGATTTCTATGAGATCAATAAAATTATTTGGTACTATGAAATCATTTGGGACTTCTGATCAATATTAATATGTTCACTTTATATACATTATTATATATAAAATCACTTAAATAATTATTGCATGTAGAAATCCAAACATATCAGCAACAGAATTTTGGATGGATATTGGCTATTGGCTATCATATGAACAACAAACCAAGCAAGAACCGCCCACTGACATCATACCAGCATTGAACTATGCAGGTGTTTCAATGATGACTAGTATTGCTAACTCTGTGGCATTTTATTAAATTAATATGTTAAAACATGATGTGTTTAAATGCAGCCATTAATGCCTTTATGGGGTTATTTAACTTACCTACTTTATTATCACTGATACATGATAAAATACCTTTTTCTCTTTTTTAATCAAATGGGTGGAACACTAACCACTTCACACTGAAAATGGTAGAGAATGTAGGTCATGTAAAAAAAACTCCAAGAATTGAGAATTGGCTCAAGTGTCCTACACTGTCACGTGCACTGGAGTAGTCAGGGTTCCCTGAGCAAGACAAACCCACCAAAATTCAAAATAAGGAATGATGTACAGTGGAAGCCTGAAAAGATGCAAATGGAATACTAGATATTAATTTGAGGACAACTAACTACAGGAAGGAGTTTTTGCTCTTGATATTAGGGAGTGACAAGGAAGAGACATACAGTTGTCACCACAACTTCAGAACTGAGAGAAAGCACTCTAGTCAGCCAGCTTTATTCCCTCGGAGAAGGGACCCAGCTCTGCCTCTGGGCCTCAGCCTCGGGTTGGGTGAGGAAGAAGCAGTTTCTCTCCCTGGTTGTAGCCCTACCAGAGACCTTGCAGCCAGACTGTGTCGTGATAGGCTGCTCTAGCTAGCCAGGCAGAGAGTATTTTGGGAAAGTGGCAGAAGTGTCCAAATGTCCATTTTGGATGAGTTCACATCAAACGGAGCTAAAAGTCAAGAAGGAATATTCGTCCTTTCTCTAGGTCGTTTCTGCTTCCTCTCTTCCTTCCTACCCTCCCCTTCTGACTTCTTTCCTTTGACAGACTCCGCTCGGAGCACACTGCTCTGACGACGACACAGTGTCTCTTACCAGCGCCAGACAGAAGAAAGTGCCCTGGGGAGCGCAGCTACCAAATCTTAGCAGCAGCACAACGGAGAGAAGAGCGGACTTACACCGGATGGAGCACAATTTCCCGCGAGATCTGTGCTTAAAAACGCAAGCAAGAGGTTTGTTTTGCATCGTCCCATCTCAGCAAGGGTGTGTTGTAAATCTCTGTATCAGGGCACTATATATTTGAAGACAAAATTTAAAGTGAGGATGGTTACTTGCTTTTAAACTGGGGCTTATTTGAGACATTTGTAGGAAAAGTGGATGCACTTAGAAAATATAACGTTGACTGAAATAAATCAGACACTCAATACTAAATACTATGTGGTATCTCACATAGTAAGACAAAGTATAAACTAGGAGAAAAATGGGAGGATAGAAAGGTACAGGGGGATGGGTCTCTTGCAGATGTGAAGGGGTGCAGGGGACCAAGGCGAGGGGCTGGGGGAAGGAATGGGGCAAGAGGCAGAGTGATGGTATGGCAGGTATGAGGCCCGAGTAACCTCAGAGAACATGGACATTGTATGCTATAAACATGAACAAAGATTAGCAATATCAAGAACGAAGAGGGGGAGGGGATCAAGGGGAACGAAGGGGACTGAAAAAAAGAAAGAAGTGGCGCTATGCACGTGCACCCACGCCTGAGGATGACTGTAAGACATGCACACTACAAAGATGTACCAATAAAGTGAAATTTAAATAAAAGATTAACCAGAAAAATATGATGACCTTGAATAAGAGTCAGTAAAATGAAAACACACCTTCTGTTTCCGTATTGGAGGAATCAATATTATTATTCCATGCGAATTTTCTGATGCAATCTAGAGATTTAGTGTTAGAAAGCAGTCCCCATACATTCTAAAAAGTTAAAAAGAAGTATGCTGAAAGTTTTAATAAAAATAAATTTTTAATATGTGAGCAGCTAGGTATACTTAAACTGACATCAACAGTACATGATACATGTGTGCCTCAAAACTTTATCTTACTTTATTAGCATTTACAAGATTTTTCACATGTATGTTAAAATAAATTTAATGTGAACACAATTTTTACTTTAAAAATTGTTTAAAGTTGATAGGGGACCAATAGCCTTTTTGAATTAATGACGTCCTAGAGACAGATTAGTGTTATCATAAAAAATACAACTAACAGCATCTAGTGAAAGATGTAGTACCAAAAATATTAAAATGTTAGTTTATTATAATCAAATTACACAAAAATTACAATTTAATTAGTGAAGCAATTATCATATTATTAGTTTGAATTAATCCACAATGAGAGACTGTCAAAAATATTTGGTAGATATTTCAAAAGCAATATAATTAAGAGAAATGAAAACACAAATACAATAAATTAAAGTATAACATTTTATTGGGTAAGTGGAGTTAACAATAATTCAAGACAAAAAAAGTTGGAAAGCTAATTATTGAAAATCTCATGTATGTATTTTAAGTGGAATTAAGTTATGTCATGAAAATGCATTCTTTTTATTTAAACCTCTGGATTTTTTTTTTTTTTTATTGGTTTTTCTCCGGTACCGGGAACCGAACTATCGACCTTGCGCTTGCCAGGCAGGCACTTTGCCGCTGAGCTAAATCCCCAGCCCCTATTTAAACCTCTGATGAAATATTCTATATACCAAAATAGATTATAGCCCAATATATATTTATAAAAAAGTATGTATATCAATTTTATACTAATATACCTAAAATATATTTTTCACTATCAATTGGGACACTTATAACTATAAAAATGGGAATAACATCAACATAAATCATGCACTACAGAGAATCAATAGAATTTACCACAATCTGAAGTATAAAAAGTGTACTAGAGAAGCAAATGCAATTGTACCCCAGGTTTTAGTCAAATGTGACCCTAGTAGTAAATGCTCACCTGAATTATATTAAAATTATTTCTATAACTGTGCCTAGTACTGACATGTGTGGAACTTGGGTTACTAAGATAACAGCTAAACAGGTTGTATCATTTATACCACAAAAATCAGCATCCTTTCTCCAAGTATGGCAGAAAGAAATGAAAATTTTGTATTAAAAGTGATTATAAAGCCTAGGTTTATTTAACATCCTGCTAAGTGCTGTTGTAATTTGAATGAAAATTGGACATTACATAGAGGCCAGATGAGTTGTAAAAGGTAAAATTATGACTATCCAGAGAAGCATCATTTAATGCAACAGAAAATATTCTCCCCCTTCACTCATCCAGTATCTAAACATTCTTTCTCATAATTTTTTATTGTTTGTGTGGCTGGTTGGTTTTTTAGTTTTTTGAGAGACACTCTTGTTTTATAGTTCAGGCTGGACTTGAACTCACTATTCATCTCAGGATGCCCTGATACTTTAGGGATTCCTGCCTCAGCCTCCTGAACGCTGGGATTACAAGTGTTCATCACCGTGCCCACACTATTTCATCTTTGTATTTGCAATCATTAGTAAATTGATTCCTTATGTAATAATGCATATGAAATAAACATTATAATAACAATTAAAGTCTAAAACAATATTATGATAAGAATAAATTTATTGAGTATCCCCTGGAGGGTTCAGGTCTCCCACTTGGCAATATGGTACATGGATGCAAAAGAAAGACAAAGAGAAAATTTTGGAGATGAGGAACCCTGGGATGGCCAATGCTCTCTGTGGAACCAAAGGCTATGAGTTTGAAAACTATATCAGTTTTTATTGGTATGGATCTGGGAGGTGGGTGGAGGTCATGACTGAGTGCTAGGGAAGAGAACTCTGCAGGCATTGGCTATAAGGAGAAATAGAGTAATTTTGTACCAGGCACAAAGTCTCTGCAACTATCAATACAACAGAGAGCTTGATATATGCAAGGATGGCACCTATACTACAGGAGTAATTCTTTCTGAGACCCAAGGCTTCAGATGAGATGGTATCTCATGTCTTAGCCCTGGAATCTCACAGGCTCCTACTTCAGCCCTCATTCCAACCATCAGTGTGTATGGAGGGGAGCAATTCTCATCCGAATGCTATAATGAGACAAGTGGGCACCTTGGCCAGACTCGATCACATTCTTTTAGCCAGCTAAGAGAACATCTGTTTCAGTATAGCCAGTTCTACCTGAAAGAGTGAATAAAAATTAGGAGGTATGACAGAAATTGTGAAATGAAAGGAAAATGCTCAAAAGAAAAGAGCAACTGGGGTGAAGGAACAGAGAAAAGAAAGAAGAGGAAATTACGTATACATGTATATACAGGATAGCTAACACAGTTGTACTACTGACTTCTATTGCTTTACTGAAAGGAACAGTTAATGATTATTTATTTGATCCATCTTGCATGTGTCTATTTGTTTTCCCGAGAAACCACTTTGAAGATATCAGTATGTAATACAATAACCATTGGTAACTTCCTACCACTTTGTCTGTAACTCTGTATTGCCTGTATTGTTCTTATGCTGTTTTGTAAATGCATGTCTGTTTGTTAATATGTTTTCTTTCTTTTATTCTTAGAATAAATTTTAAAAAAAGAAAAAGGATGTAAGTAGTTCTTCATATCTCAGTGAATAGAGTTGAAGGAGAGGTCAGGGAAATGTCAATGCAAGGGGCTTCCTTTCCCAGGAGAGTGTAGCTTAGTGGTCTCCAACAATTGAGCCTTTATAAAATTGTGTCAGGTTACCTTGTTCCTCATATCAAAATATAGGAAAATTACTCTCCCTACTGTATTGATGCCTGTTTTGAAATTTTATATAGATATAATCAGTAAATAGAAGGACAAATCTGTATTCATTCTTTCAGCTAAAGTGAGTTACTAAGAAAAAATTCTGTTGGTTTTATTTATAATACATGGAAATGATGTCTGGTTTGCATTTATTTTGAAGAAATTTATGGAAGTCATTATTTTTCAGCTAATAAGGAAACTCCAAGCATTTTTCTTTTACAGTAAATAAGAAGTCTATTGAGGGTTCAGAGATTTTCTCGAGTTTAGAAAACAATTCATTAAAAGTTGATAATATGATGACTTCATAGAAATGATAATAGTACAAAATGGAAATTAAGTGGGCACATAACTCTCATTTTACACCTATAAGACACAATCTGTTTGTTCTATCACTGTGGTGGATTAATTAATGGGCCACCCAGCTAAACGGAATCAGCATGGTGCTAGGTGTGGAAGGCCCACATGAGGATTGTTGCCAACAACATAAAAGCAGAGCTGGAGGGAAATGCTTGCTGGTTTTCCTGATACAAACTTGGCTGTTCTCAGAGGAGCTCAGGTCCTTGCTGTCACTAGGACAGCTGTGATTCTCTTTGGGGGAGCTCTGATCTTTACCTTGAGTGTTGCTTTCCGGCGCCAGGGCACAGATCCATCATCCCACTGGCACAGATTTTCTAGCTTTCGTCATTGACCTTTGGGGTTTCCCAGAGTAGATCCTTCCTACAGACTTGCATGGGACATTGTTGTGGACTTTAGGCCTCCAGGTGGACTCATAGCGGACATTGCCATGGGCTCTAGGTCCTCAGCGGGAATCATACAGGACATTGCCGTGTCCAGGTCCTCAGCGGGAATCATACAGGACATTGCCGTGGGATCCAGCTGGACTGTTTGGAGCTCTAACGTATGGATTTCCTGTGCTTTTTTGCATTTGACTCTTTGGGTAAATATTATGAAATAACCCTATAAATTGTGCGTTCTGTATTAAATCTATTCCCTTGTGAACCCTGACTACAACAATGACTCTCGTGTTTTCTGTCATAGCTTATCATGTTGCTGCACCATGGGTCCAGTAGAAAAAACGTTCAGGAAGTATGTCACATATTATTCACACTTCTATTCATGCACAGTCATCTGTGTACATTACACAACATAACTTTACAAACACATATGGAGTTATGTCACATTAGCACACAAAAAGACATTGAATTATTAACTCTGTATTACACCATAACTGACTGGATTTTGTGCTAAATAAAATGTTTTTCTTACTGAAATGCAGTTTGAATATCTCAGTCTTTTTTTGTGCTAAATAAAATGGATTTTGTGCTAAATAAAATGTTTTTCTTACTGAAATGCAGTTTGAATATCTCAGTCTTTTTTTTCCTGTGGACCAGCTTCTTTAGTGATTTTATTTTTTAGCAGAAATATCCTTCAAAAAATCCTTAACTGTTTAGAAATTTCCCTTTTTAAAAACTCCCTACGGTAATTATTTTTTTTCCTCATACAATAGTCAGGTCTTTCATTGGCATTTTGTCAACAATGTATTTTGCATCATGGAAGGCAAGAATTACATTTGAGCTGTACTCCTACACTTAAACACATAATTCTGGTTTTAAAATCATAATCAACTTTAGGTATTTTTTATGTAATAGATAGGGAATTAATACTTATTGAATTATGAAAGATATGCCACATGTATGTTAATTGCTAACTACACAATCACATTTTAAATTACATTGCCGTTTGCTAAATGAAACTTTTAGATAAACCATATAAAATTAATTCTATTAATTTTAATGACATCCTTCAAAACAAATTTTATGAAAACTATTTGTACATCAGGGCCCAAATCAAAGAAAACTCCTGTTTAATAAGAAAATAATTTTGTATTCAAAAACATGCGGACCGTGTCCTTCACATCCTTATTTCTCAGACTGTAGATCAGGGGGTTCAACATGGGGATCACCACCGTGTAAAACACGGAGGCCACTTTGACCGTGTGCCTGGAGTTCTTGGAGTTGGGCACACAGTAGAGGAACAGGATGGTGCCGTAAAAGATGGCGATGGCAGTCAGGTGGGAGGCGCAGGTGGAGAAAGCCTTGAGGCGCCCGATGGCTGAACGCATCTTGAGGACGGTGACAACAATGAACAAATAAGACAAGAGAATAATGAGGAGTGTGACAGTTGCGATAAATATAGCAAAAATGAACAGTAACAGCTGATTCATATAAGTATCTGAGCAAGAGAGAGACAGCAGTGCTGAGAACTCACAAAAGAAGTGATCAATGATGTTGAAATCATGAAAAGATAATTGCAAGGCGGAGCACGTCAGTGTCAAGGAACAGGCTACCCCCCATGAGTAGGACCCCGCCACCAGCATGGCGCAGAGTTTCTGGGACATGGCGACTGAGTAGAGAAGGGGGTTACAGATGGCCACAAAGCGGTCATACGCCATCGCTGCTAACAAAAAGGCTTCTGTAACCACAAAGGTACAAAAGAAAAACTACTGTGCTATACATCCCGCAAATGAAATGCTTCTGTCCCTTGCAATTAGGTTCACCAGCATCTTGGGAGCAATGACGGAGGAGTAGCAGAAATCCACGAACGAGAGGTGGCTGAGGAAAAAATACATGGGGGTGTGCAGTTTGGGGTTAATTTTAATTATTACAACCATCCCAATGTTCCCTACCACAGTGACGCTGTAGATGGCCAGAAAAGTCAGGAACAGTGGTATTTGCTGTTTGGGGTAATCTGAGAAGCCCAAGAGGGTGAACATGGCTCCACTTTGGTTTGTCTCTGACACTAACATGGATTCTCCGTGTCAGAGCTTGAAGGTTAGTCCTGAAACCAAAAACAGGGAGAGTGAGAACACAAGATGTATGGTTTCCTTCCTTTATAAAGTCTGGAGAAGGATGACAATATTTTTCAGGGATTATTATTATAGAAGGTATAATACATGTCTAACATTTTAAAATAACAGCCATTCATATTTTCTTAAGAATAAAACAAGTAATCAGCTAAATTTTAAGTGCTTGAATGTATCTTTTGTTCTTACAAACATAGGAAATGTGTTTATATTTTTATTTATTTTAAACTAGTTATTCACATGACTCTCAGCAGTCTGAGTTCATTAACTATTACATTACATGATTATCTGAAATGTATACTCTGTCATAAAAAAATAGGAATTTCAAAATGAGGTTTTTATATAATATTTTCACTTAGTAACATTAAATGCAATGTACCATAAAAATAAATGTTTTGAGTTCATTGTTAATACCACATTGGACTTTAATCAGTCTTCCTGTTGAGCTCAGGAAATCTGATTCCAAAATAACTCTTAGTCTAAAGAGTAAGTTCTTTAAACAGGGACATCTAAATATCAGTCTTTCCACATTGCCCAAAGAATTACATAATCAGAATAGATTAAAAATATTTTGTGTAGTTTACTTTCTTATTCTGGAGGTGGCAAAATAGCATCCAGGTAAACGATGGGTTTTCCAATGACATACAAATGTAGAACAATCTACACATGTATGTTTAGAGCCCTAACCCTCAAATTTCTCATCAAGAATCTATTTTTTCCACCATCAGATTCTGATACTTTTCTTCTAAGTGTAGATATTATAAATTTCCTTTAATAATGATCACATTTTCAATTAGTGAGCCATTAGTGAGCTATTAAGTCTGTGGGAAATAGTCCAATTGCACTGTAAAAGTCCCACAGATGTACTAGATGCAATGTAGAGATAAAGCACAGCAGAAAGGCATTTAGCAAAATTTTCGGTCAGAAATCACCATCTTTCTGAAAGACTGGCATGAAAACATTCTTGTATTACTCAGTAACATTCAAGTTCTAAAAGAAGAGGTTCCTGTATTCCCGAGATGCTTTCTTGATCAAAATCAAAATCTATCTTACTTTTGCATCTTTAAACAAACCTCCCAGTGGCAGTTCGATCTCTCTGGGCTGGGAGTGATAGCTGCTTATTTATATCTATACTTACAACCTTGGAGACATGAACCCGAGAGATAATCCACTACCACTCCATTCTCTTGAGGTGACAAGATAAACAATTAAAGTTAATCACCATTACTTGCTGCAATCTTTAAGAAAATTATATATGTATCCTTTTTAATTGGCATGGTGTTTGCACAATTTCATAGAACAGTTTGTCTCCTATGTACATAAAGTGTAATGATGATTTGTGATAATTGGCATACACACGTACCTCATCAGTTTCTCATGTCTTTGTGTTGGGAAACTTTGAAACCATATCTATTAGCTGCTATAAAATATTCATTACCTATTGTGTCTCAGAGGGACCCTATACAAAGAGAAAGAGCCTTATACTTAATCCTCTGTCTGATCCACTTCTACACATCCTTCCTAATCTCTGGTAACCACCATTCTATTCTTTAGTACCACAAGGTCAACATTTTTGTTTCTACATAGAGGTAAACCTAGGGAATTATTCTTTCAGTGCCTGAATTACATCACTTAATATAGTGTGAATAGTGTGCTCAAGTTCAACCTAGCCTGCTGCAAATGACATTTCATTTTTTTACATTTGAAGTGTTCCATCATGCATGTGTTCAGCATATTCTTTCTCCACCCATCCATCAAAGGATTCCTAGGTTGATTTCATACTTATTTGACATTTTAGAAATAATAATAAATATTTATACTACATAATAATGGCATTCAGTTGGGAGCTGGTACATATACAAAATGCATCTTGATCAACTTCATACTTGAACATTTTGAATAGTCCTGCAATAAACAAGTGAGTATAGGTGTCTCTTCTACCTCTGTGTGTGTGTGTGTGTGTGTGTGTGTAAATGCTATTTTTACGGCATTTCTCTGCCTAATTTCCTAGCTGTTTGAGAAATCTCCATACTGTTTTCCATAATGAGAGTATTAATGTATACCAACAATCCACAAATGTACCCCTTTCTCAGTCAATGTCATCTTCTTTGATGACAATGGACAATGTGATAAAACTACAAATCAGTAAGACAGAAATCTAGTAATTTTACAAACACCTAAAGACTGTCAACATTCTCTTGAATTAACAATAATCAATGAAAAAGTCAATAAATTTTTTTTCCTTAAAAACTTTCAGGAAACAGCGACATATAGCTATCAAATCTTATGGGACACACCAGACACAATAATAACAGGGAAGGTTGTATTATAAACGTCTATATCAGATAGAGATTTCAAGTAATCTAATTCTTTGACTCAAGTAACTAAAAGAACACGAACAAAGTGAATTCAGAATTAATAGAAGTAAATAATTGTCAGAACACAAGTAAATAAAGTGGAGACCAATAATAAAAAATAAATAAAATGAAACTTTGTGTTTCCTTGGAAGATAAATTTAAAAACCTTTAGATGGAATAACCAACACCAGCAAAGACAATGTTCAAATAAATAAAATCAGAGAAGAAAAAAATTATGACAACTAGCAAAACGGAAAACTGATGATCATTAAGGAATATCACAGACACCCTTTCACTGAAGGTGAAATTGTTAAGTTTCCGGACAGAGCTAACCTAGCAAAACTAAATGAGGAGAACATGGAAAGCCTGGACAGGCAATAATACTTAAAAGAGATTGTGTTAATGATAAAAGTAACCAGGATATTCAGCTCAGCAAGGAAAAGCACAGGACCAGTTGATCTCAGTGCCCAATTTTACCAAATATCTAGGGAAGTATAACCAATACTGCATCAAGTATTGCGGTGTACCAAAATGGTGAAAACACTGCCCAACTCTTCCTCTAAGGCCAGCATTAACTTGATTTTACACCCAGAAAACAACGACCAATAACCCTGATGAACAGGGACGTAAACATTTTCAACAAAACATGAGAAAATGTGAACCAAAACTTGCTGCCAGAAATTCCCTACACAGAGAACTAACATCGAGAATATACCAACAACGAAAAACAGACCCTTTAAAATAAAAGATCCAGTCAATATAAAGGCAGATGAAACGAACAGATGCTTTTTAGAGAAATGCAAATGGCCAGTAAATAAATGAAACTAAAAAGTTTAACGTCATTGGCCATAAGGGAAACATAAGTTAAAACAACACCAAGATACCACACACTCTCAAAACAATGGCTGGCATCACAAAGTCAAATAATAGCAAATGCAGCTAGACTGCGTGGGAAAAGGAGCACACCTACACTGTTTCTGGAAATGTAAACCAATACAAACATTATAGAAGTTAGTAGGAGTTTCCCTAAAAATCAAAGCATAGAAATTGCATTTGACACAGCTATTCTTCTTCTAGTTATTTTTTTTGAAAGAATTTGAGGCATCATATTACAGTAATGCAGAAATACTTGTATTTAAAGCAGCACAATTAATAATAGCTACATCTTAGAATGGCCTATATGCCCATCAACAGATGAGTGGATAAAGAAAGTATGGTATTTATACACAATGGGGTACAAGTCTGTCACAAAGAGCAATATATTTGAGACATTCTTAGGTAAGTGGATACACCCTGAGATAATGATATTAAGCGAAATAAATCAGACACACAAGCTTAAATACTGCATGGTTTCTTTTGTATGAGAACCATGAGAATAAATGAAGATCAAATAATGGTCCATAGGAAGATCTTTTATAAGTGGGAAAGGGAACAAGAGATAAATGGAGAAGTACAGAGGGGAAGGAAAGAGAATGAAAGTAAAAGAATTGAAGGGAAAACATGGAGCAGCATTTTGCCAAAGGAAAGAATACCAAGGATTGGAAAGAACACGGAGTGATGGGAGGGGTAGGAGACAAACAAGAACTAAGATACATCATGTGCATGTACCAACCCTGCATAATAAGTGTCATCATTATGTACTATAGATGTGTACTAATAAAATACAAGTAGTGAAAGAATATGTGATCCAATACCACATAAGTAATTTCCTTTAATATTTTCAAGTGAGATTTATCCCCATGCAAGGGTGGGTCAATTTTCGCAAATCCTTAAGTGTCAAAAAGCATGTCAACGGAATGAAGAAGAAAAATCACGTTCTTATACAAACAGATGCAGCAAAAGCATTTGAAGAAATTAAATAACCATAAAAGTTAGTTAATGAATCAATCCACTTCACCACAGTAAAAGCTTTATCAGAAACCCACTGCCAACATTGTACTGAATGGTAAGAAGTGGAAATATTTTCCAAGAACATGGCAAAGATGTTCACTTTAACCACTTCTATAATAAAATATTACCACAATAATAATAATAATAATAATAATATCTTAAAGTGAAATTAACTAAACAAATAAGTGACATCAACGTGGGGAAAAGAAACTGAAGAAGACCCACAAAAGACTCAAAATGTCCCATATTCATGGATTAGAGTAATCTTAAAATATATTCACTAATCAAAGTGATGTACAAGTTTATTACAACTTCCCTCAAATTATCAAAGACATTCTTTACACAAGTAGAAAAAAAAAATTTTACTGAAATTTGTATGAAATGACAAAGAATCCCTAATATTCATAGTACCCCTAAAGTAAAAGAACTATGTTAGGAACTATATAATATCCCAATTTAAAACATACTAGAAAGTAATAGTATAAAAAGCAGTCTGGTACTACGGTATCAGGATATGATTAGATACATAAACCAATGGTCCAGAGTAGAAAACATAAATAAATCCATGCATTTATGGCCCATTTATTTTTGGTAAAAACAGCAAAAACATCCATTGGAGAAATGAAAGTCTAATCACTTACTATGTGTAAACTTCATTCAAACTGCAGCAAAACTTGAAATATGAGCTAGTAGAAG